ACCAGAGAAATCAGTAATGGAGTCTAACAGGTCTGTGCTATTTCACAATCATAAGTGATCTGAAGTGGTGAATAATGATTAATGAATGATGCCAGAGTAATGAAAAATAAAGCTATAGCAAATCACAGAAGCAATTGGTATTTGTTGGTACATGGGTGATTAAAAGTGGCAGGTTAAATTCTTCAGCATTGATGAATGTTGAGTGAGTGCATGGAAGAAAAACCTCTCATCTTGTTTTGTTGAATGTTGAACTAGCTTTGATTTATAGTATGTAGTTTTGTGGAAGAATCACTTTAGTACATAGTGACTATAAAACTTACTTAGATATTTCAGTTAATAACAAAATTTAATGAAGAATAGAACAGGAAACATTGTACTGGGTTGTGTACTTATGGTGTACTCACAACTTAAATAGTATTTGCAGTTTTCTGCCTGATTCAGAAAGTATGTAGTAGAAATAAAAAAGCACTTGGTGGGGGAGGGTGGTAGTGGTAGTTGGAACAGGTTTGATACAAGGGTAATTGGAAGAGAGAGGACCAAGGGAGAAATGATGGAAGTGTGCAAAGCTGTGTCTTGGAGCAGGTGGGTAGAGTCACAGTTCCTTTTGTGACTGGAGAAAGGCAAGCTCAGAATGAGGTACCCTTTCACGTGGCCTGTAGGTGGTGGAATTCATATCTATATGATGCTGTAACTGCCAGAGATTAAAACAGGTCCAGAAAATGTTCAGACAAAACCACTGAAGGGTGTTCTGGCTGGAGCTGTTAAGTACGACAGCATCATTTCTGGTTCACAGAGACACCAGAAGAGTACTACCATGTGCTGGACTTGCTCATATCCGCTTTCCTAGACACCCTAATTGTCATCTCCAGAGAGAGTGTATGAGCCCAGACTGACCTTTGATTTCACTCCATATATCTATTCTTTTGAAACTTTTAAGCGTGGTGTGGTAATGAAGGTAACCAAGCCAACAGAATATGTGGAAATGTTGGTTTCATATGGAAGAATGCTCGGCACACTGTAATGGCTTCTGATGTGCCTCTCTTCCATTTCAGGGTGAAATGAGGTATTTTAAATAGATTATGCAACCATTGGTGATTTCATTAAACAAATGTGATACAGAAAAGACTATGTCAGACCATGATACTGAGTGAAGTACATTAGGAAGGAAGATTTTTCCCCTCCTCTTTTTTTCATCACCTCTGAAATACTGTTACCATGTAAGGTGTAAGTGGAAGTCATATGTTTACTTTAGAAACCAATTTATTTTAGCAGTCTAATTTAACTTAACATGAAAGGAAAATGTCTGCGTAGACCTGAACCGGAAAATTGCTCTAATGACAAAATAAGGTAGAACTTAGCGTTAGCTGAAAATCCCTCTAAGCTACACTACGTGTTTCAAAGTAGTACAGGGTATGCTCTATTTAAAGAAGACATATGCTAAAAATATATTAAGCCCATCCAAGTGGGGAAAAAATCCATCATAAAAATGGGGCCTTCATCTTTTAATAAAGCATATTAAACTATTGAAAGTATGGTTGCCTGTTATGAAGAAGACTTAGCATCCTTCAAGAGGAGGAGGGTACGGCTACTGAAGGTCTTGAAGAAAAGATGTTCCTTCCTTTCTGTACTTAGGAAAAAGCCAGAATGGCATATTGAAGATTGAGCAGGGTGGAAACAACAAAGCTGAAAGATGAGTTTTATCTCCAGCCATCAACAATAATAGTCGTGTCTCCTTTACCCGTTTTCTCTTAACCCTTATTACTAAAACTGTAGTGTATTCCTGTCTCTGCGACCTTCTCCACTTTCAACTAGCATTGCCTTCTCACTGGGGAGCTTGCGTGCTCCTCCTCCCTGTTTGTTCACCAGTGGTACCATTTAAAATAGCCATGCCACGCTGTTTCCCTTTGCACCGGGACAGCTTGTAGCTTTCACAAGTCCTTCTGGTTTAGCTAATGTAAGTGAAATTAAAAAACTATTCCATGTTTTATGTTATACACTGGGTATCCCAAATATTTACTTCCATTATTCACAATTCTCTGAAACTACTTTAAGCTTAGTCTTGTATTGGCAGTCCACCATTAAAATAGTACCATGCTATTTTTTTTCTTCAGAAACATACTTCAGTTGAAGAAATTAATGATTTTGAGAGTTAGGGATTTTCAAGTCTTTTTATTATAGGGTCATCACGCCAGCCTTAGCTTTTTATAAATGAAAGCTTCAAACTGGGATAGTTTCTTCTCTGCATACTATACCAAAGCGAAGCAGATTATTGAAGAGCCTTTTAAATAAACAACTCTTGGTATGCAGCTTCCTTGGATGTTGTTTGCTTGATTTTGAAGTGTGATTTAAATTGAATGCAAGATCTATAGATTGAATCTGTATTTCAAAGGGTTTTTAAATTGTTTTACTTGTAAGAGTTCATACCTAAGATCTGAAAGGCAATGTTTTCATGGTGAATTCTGAGCAAAACAGTAATGAAGTTTGATTTTGCCTGTTAAAAGTGAATTTGTATAATATTTTTCATCTTTAGTTTCTTTTAAAAAGAAACTCAACAAAATACCCAGTGTGCCTAACAGAACAATGAAACGGGCACTTTTTGTACTACTTGCTTTTTTTCTGCGTAGGCTTATATTTTAGTATTTTGAAAGAAAAAGTTATCATACAAAAGTAATATAGATGTTAAAACTGTGTAAATATTCCCACCTGTCCTATGTTGCTGTATTCAGTGTTTAAAATCTCCCCTCCTCTGAAGAGAGAGACTGAATTTTGTTTTTTGAAACAAACCCTGAAAAGAAGCAGGTAATTGTACGGCCCCAGAGCAAACCAGGATTTGGAGAATTTTGTTATGCTCCTGTGTGGAAAAGTTTCTTGTGTTAGCTGTGACGCAGGACAAATTGTTTGCCTCGACAGATTTGAAGACTTAAGGGCAGAGTGGATCCCAGACTTTGGCAATTCATCACCCTCCCTCATCTGCATTTAAAAATCCCTGGGTGTGACCTAGGAGCCTGGTAGATGTTCTTTGCCTACTGCTCCCTCACAGCGTAGGGCTGGGTGCATAGAGCTACCAGTACGCCTTGTACTGCTGTACAGACAGGTATCGTGGATTCTGTCTTCAATTTACCGAATTGAAATTCTGTAGTGGATTTCCTGGTTATTTATTAGGTATCTTCAGAAAAGGTGCGTTTCAGTAGGCTACACGGTATTCCCCCCTGCATAGCTTTATTTCTGCATCTGTCTTGAGTCTAAGTAGTTGTTGGCCTCTTACTCTCTTATTAACATTACTGACCCATCAAATGTTTTTCATTGCCATTTGCTGCCCTTTTTCATCATCATTATAAGTCCAAAAAGATTACCCTTTAATACACTCAAGATTAAAAACCTGACTTTATTTAAAATACTATGAGAATAACGTAACACTTTTCTTGCTTCTTATAATTTTCATTGTAACATTTAGTTCAAACTAAGCCACTGTATGGAGAGGTAACTTAAAACAGGAATGCTTTTTTATGAAATCGATTAGTTTAATAACATCCAGCCCTTAAAGCAATTTTGATTATCATTGTAGCTTTACTTCCTTACCCCTATTTTCAAATTCTAGCATGATTTTACTGTTTATTCTCATTATATCTGAAGTAAATAATTCCTGTCTCAGTTCAAAACTGAGGACTGCAAACCTATAAATAATTTTGATTTTTATAGCATTTGATGCTTTTTGTAGCTTAAAATCTCCTGTAGACTGAGGGGGGAAAATAGGTGTGAATTTAAAGTGAGGGATCAAAGACTAATTTTTAAATCTAGATCAAGTGTGTTCTCTAATACATGGAAAAAAAGCTTTCAAAAAGCTTAAACTCCAGCTTTTTCTCAGGCATAGTTACTTGATGGATGTAGTGGTCAAAGACTCATGGATCAGCTTTCAGTCCTGTATTGCATAATTTTATAAAAGCTGAAAACAGTCAAATCAGGTCTAATCAGATCGGAACTGATCCGATCAAAGATACGTGCAGCCGAACATCTCACTCCCAGCAGGTCAGAACAGGTAGCATAGACATGTGGGTAGGAATTGGACAAGCAGATATTAGTACTATTTGCTTTGTTAATGCCCATCAGTTTGTATCTTATGACCTTCATGACTATTTTTGAAGCTGTCAATTAAACATTACCTAGTTGAGAAAGAAGATTCCCTAATGCTCTTTGAGTTTTTGTCATATAATTCCCCAGAACACTTAGTGGTTTTCATTAGATACCATATCGGTGTTTTTCAGCCAAAATACCTTGTTTAGTTTTAATCTGAGAAGATGCGATCCACTGAAGAGTCATGTATATCTGTTGTAAAATTCAGACTTAAACTTTAAATCAGGAAGTTTATGACACTTCGAAGACCTTAAAGCTATCATCTTTGTTGTTGTTGTATCTTTCTGTTGTTCTTTTGGTGGGTTTTGGTTTTCTCAGTGGGATGTATTCCCTGGTAGTAATGCCAGATGGGCTTGTGGTTGTTTGTTCCTAGATTTAAGTTACAATGCATAAAGCCAGTATCTTGTTCATGAAAATTCCCTCTGAATTCAGTGAATAAAAAGTGGGAGTTGACTCTTGGAAATAAATTACCATCATTGTCCTGTTTGCCAGTTGCCACTTAATGTTCAAGTGCCTACTGTGTGATATGTTGTGTCTTTTTAACATTGATGAACTTCACTAGAACTGCAATTTGTTGTTTTCATGTTTGGGAAAAATAATTTTTTCATGTAAAATGTGGAGTTAGTTAAGGTAATTAATAATTCCTGGAAGTGTGTGTGTTTTTGGATGGAAATTAAGTTTTGAGGAGTCCAGTGGAAGTGGAGGAGTAACAGCTGTTTCATGTAACTGCTAACTGAATCATTACATAAATGTGAGTGATTTGATATGTATGGAAAACTGATAGAGACAACTGTGTTTATCTTGTCTCTTCCATTAGCAGCATGTGTAATTACTTTTCCAAACACTAAATTTTGCCTTTTTTCTTTTTCCAGGATGGATTAGATGCTTTGGTATATGACTTAGATTTTCCTGCTTTAAGAAAAAACAAAAACATCGATAACTTCTTAAACAGGTGTAAGTATTTAATGTTTCAATTACTGACTAACCAAAGACTATCAATGCCAGCAGAGAGAAAAAAAGGAGAGGGTTCTAACTTTTTGAAAGGCAATTAGGGATTTGGGTTGCATCCAGTTTTTGGGTGGGAGTTTAAGAGTCTGTCTGTTTGTTTATTTATTTCCCATTGAGAACTGACACCTATTTATACAAATCCAAGTTTGTTGCAACTGCCAGTGGCATTGTTTTTAGTGGCTCAAAGCCTTTTAAGAGAAAGGCCTGTTATCTTTGTTCTTGGTGACCCCCTGGATTTCCATTACTTGCTTTGTAATTTCATGTACTAATTAATATATCATAAGCAGTTGAGAGTAAAATGACCTACTGTGCATACAGCTTCAAGAAATCATATGAAAAACTTGTTCACTGACAGAGTAGAGCATGTGTTTTGTAGACTTTCAGTGTAAAAGGTCTCTTTTCATTATCCCATGAAGTTCTTAGGCTGCATGTCTGCTGTATTTACTTGTGCATGCAGCTGATGTGTCTGCAGAATTATTCTCCGTATATACTCTGTATTTTTCCCGCTACCAGGTTTCCTGCACATTCTGTAGTAACACTTTAATAAATTTGCTTATTATTAATAGAAGTCATAGTTTCATAATTTTCATAATTATAAATAACCCAAAAAACCCACAAACCAGGAGTTAGGCCTTTTCTCCAGGCTGCCAAACTGACAAATTCTGGAACTCCTGGCAGAGGTGTTTGCTGGTTTGGGGCTTGCTTCTGCCTGTGGACTCAATAGGCAAGCCTTGAAATTGAACTAGTGTTATTAGATTTTTATAGGCTTAAGCATCTTAATTAAATGTTGTAATAAATGGCTTTTTTTTTGGCAAATATAAAATAATTTGACATAAATCACATTTGTCTTTGCTTTGTTGAAATTTTATGCTTTTGATTTTGTTTCCAAGGTATTTTCAAATAGCTTTCTTCACGCTACTGTAAACAATGATAGTGAATTTGTGGGTTTTACTTTATATTATTCCCCATTTGTGGGAATACATGAGTTGACTAGATGTAGTTGATGACTCACTTGCACGCAAACCTGCTGCTGAAAGGCCTAAGTTCAAATGTTCTGTTTAACTTTTTACAGTTCAAACTACGTTTGATATCATACAGCATGTTACATGCACATTTTATATATACTCAGTTATTTACAGAGAAGGTGTGGTGAAACTTTTGGAGAAAAGAGAAGTTGGTTAGGCAAAGGAAATACTCATTGCAACAGATAATTTGAATGTAATTTTTATGAATAGTGAAATCATTAGCGAGTCTCAAAGAGCTTCACTTTTGCATTGGGGCTGAGTGAAGAAAAAGAAAACTTGCGTTTACAGTCAGATAGTGAATGTGTTTTAAATATAAATTGCATACTGTGTAAGATGTGACCTGAAGGTGGAGAACAGGCCATTTCACTTCAAACTCCCTTTAGAACACTAATCTTGCTGTGCTTGCTGAAATATGAAAGCAAGCTGTGGACGGGCGAGTAGTGGACTTAGAGGGAACTGTGAAGTCTAGTTTGTCTTGAACTTCTATTTAAAAAAAAATAATAAATGCACATATAGGAATACTTTCCTGTTTATTTTAGTTCTAATAGAAAACAGTTTAAAATCTTTTTGCAGTATTAGCTGTCCAAACAGTTTTCACCATTATTCTAGACGTTTTCAATGAATTTCTAGATTGCAAATGAAATGGAAGTTTGCTTCCTTTATTTTACAGACTGATTGCCCTGTGAGTCAGTCCTTATCCCCTCTTATTTTTCTCTGTTTTACATTCTGTGCTTGCAGAGCCTCCAAAATCTGCTTCTACTGCCTAAGGTTGTGAGGGTTATTTCTGTAAATATGGAACCTTACTACTTTTCTGCCATATGAAATTAAAAGAATAAAGAAATCAGCATTCAGGATGGTTGAGGGCCCTGCTTTGTAGCAGGGGCTCAGTTTATTTCAAGACAGCAGCTGAGCTTATCATCAGTCTTCAGGGCGAGTTGGAGAATGCGGTCTTTTGCCATGGGAGCTACCCCACCTGTTCATACAGTGTACGGCTGGTCCTCCACTGTTAGCGGGAGATAAGGAGCTGCCGATTTACATATGCTGCAGCCTGGTAAACCTTGTTTAACAGATCTTGGAATATGGAGGTCAAATTTCCAATGCTGCTGCTATTGTAACATACTGTCTGTGGATAATCCAGTGTTGGTATTTCTCTCAAGCAGTAAATTGCAACCACTGAGAAGCCCGTTCTACAGTACTGAAAAATCCTTAGCTTAACTTGCTGTTCCAGATGTATTTTCCTTAATTCTGTTTTGGCTATGGGCAAGGCTTGTGATTGAAAACCGTTTAAAGCATTCATGTTCTGCCTAGCTTTTTTTCTGCATCAATGTCAAGATTTTTCGTTCAGAAGGGGTGGACCTCCCGTTGTGTGATTACTGGGCACTGAGTTAACAGTAACTAGAAAATTGTTGCCGTGAGAATTGCTGCATTTTAGTTCTGTGCAGTCTTGCTCATCCTCCACTGTAGGTCAGTTTTCACCAGGACAAATAAGGCAATGCATTATTTTTTTTTTTTTCAATTTCTGAATACATTTATCCTTGTGTGAAATAATTGGTCACAATTTACAGCTTTAATAGAATTTATTGAAGCGAGCTAGTGGTGTGCTGTGCTGTAAAGGGCTGGCTTTACATTAAAAAGTAATGCCACAGTGTGTTTACTCTAACAAAGCTATGTTTGTTCCTGTTGCAGTAACAAAATCTTACTAAACTTTAATTATACATATGCTGCTTTTGTTTTAGATAATGGCCAGTGTAGGTAGGGAATCTAATGGTAATTTTCTCTTGTCTGTCTAAGCGTTTTTTAAAATATGAACTTAAAAAATTATTTTTCTCCTCCTTTCTGTTCCCCTGTCATTACTTCTTTCTAAACTTTGCCTGTAGGCCTAAAACATTTTTGAAAATAAAATACAGTTGCATAGCTTACTTTATTAGAAGCATATCTGTTTTAGTAGATGTTCCTTGCTTTTAGAAATACTGAAGCATGAAGCTTTTCCATGTAATCTCATGCCAGTGTTGACCCACATGGATTAAAATAGACTGTTTTAATCTTTGACCAAATTTGGAATTAGAATATCTGCCCACTGGGAGTTTGTAAATTATTGTAGTTTATAGAATGACAGGTCTATATAAATAATTACAACGATTCCCACTGCGTGTTTTAAATTAAAATCTACTTTTTTGGATATTAGGAGTAATGGATGTGCAGAAAAGTAAAAGCTTATTTTCTTGAAAATAGTTTCTTCAAGTGTCTTGTGTACTTTATGATATTTTCTCAGATGTGTTGCATATCTATCCACAAATAATCTTTTCGCACTGATCAGCTTACAAGTAAGATCATGCTGGATATGAAATTTTTTGCATAGCTTTTCTGCAGGTAATTATGTTCAAAGAAATTCCCAAATTAAACTCTCTGGTAATTTGATTGTACAGTGGAGTGGCTGCATTATGTTTATGTCAGGATTTGGTTACCAGGGTAATGAGAATGATCTCATGCTTTCTGTAGAGATGTTTCCAATAGGAAGCTAGGTTCAAAAGGAGGTCCCCTCTTTAAAAGCAGCATGTCTTCTAACAACTATGAAAAATTGAAATGAGATGAATGGGTTTAATTAAATTGATTATATATGAAATGTGAATTTTCTTTTATGTAGATAAAGACACGGTAAATAAAATGAGAGATCTGCGCATGAAAGCCGAAGATTATGAAGTGGTGAAGGTGATCGGTAGAGGGGCATTTGGGGAGGTTCAGTTGGTAAGTTACATTTCTGCTTGTGCATTTGAATGTATTCTGTAGTCTTTGCTCGTGCATCTATTTCTGAATACAGTGTTCAGAAGATGAACTCTTACAATAATTACAGCCTTTTGCTCAGTGAAATTTTATTTCTTTTTATCCCATGGAAGTGTTTTTGAGAATCTCCTGTTTCAGTACTCCCAAAGTGCACAAGTACTTCTCTTGCATTGTAGTCATGCTTCTCTATTAAAATAGAATGGAATACGTATTCCTCATAATCAAGAAAATTAGACCTTTGCCACTGTATACATGGCCACTGGGACAGATCTTCAGGATTAGAAGAATTTCTGCCAGTTCAGGGACTACACACGATTTTTGTGGACATAGTTCTCACAGATGGGAGATGTCCTGTTTGTATCAGATTAGCAACCAGGCTTGTTCGTCCTGCTTTATTAAACTGAGAACTGATAAGAGAAGCTGAGACTATGGCAGCAAGCATACATGTCTGCTAATGAACTCTGGAAAATGCCTGTAGTTTAAACTTCATAGTATGTAATAGGTGTCAATACGTGTCCTTTTAATACACATACCTGCCTGTTACAAAGCCACTCGTGCATATGGATTTCTATGTTGAATGGTTCTAGAGCAATGCATATATTCTAGGATAATGGCATGTAATTATTCTGTAGACCTACAGTGAATAATTTTTTTATGAAAATGTGAAGAGTCTTATCAAACTTGTTAAATAACGAAGTAGGGAAGTAATATATTCAGTGGTGTACTTCAGATGTTAATGTGACAAGCTAATGAGTTCCGTACGTCACATTTGTCTTCATAGGTAAGGCATAAATCCTCAAGGAGAGTGTATGCGATGAAGCTTCTGAGCAAATTTGAGATGATAAAAAGGTCAGATTCTGCGTTCTTCTGGGAAGAAAGGGATATTATGGCTTTTGCTAACAGCCCCTGGGTTGTTCAGGTACAGTGATAACCTTTTTAAAATATTGTCATGGTGGAAAAGTTTTGTTATAACACTGCATGAGTTAGAATTACATAGGTTTGTTTTGCGCTTTTCAAAGTCCCTTTTTGGTTGCATTGGTCTGTTAGGGAAATACATCATTAAGAGTGCTGTACAAAACAAATAGCAGATGCTGCACTTGCTTCAGAACTGTGTTTTGCCATAGTGTTTACAAGATAAACTATTCTGTTTGTTATTAAAGCGCTTTGACAGATACATATTGGTGAGTCGGCTCTGTAGTAATTCTTTGAGGCATCCAGCATACCAGAAAGACATGCTTAAGACACAGCTTCTATATATTCTAATTTTTGTGTGTATTTTTTACTGCAGATTACGCACACTCTGCTTATTTTTTCCTCATTTCAATGTTATCACTGACAGTTTTTTGGGAGGCATTGATGCCTTTGAAGTTGATAAGGAGCCTGAAGCAATCCTCACGCATTATGTGTGCACATGTTAACTTAGTTGTTTAAACTGTTCTTACCCTGAAGCGTGTATAAATTCTTCTGTTAGGTTAGAATTAAACAAAATAATTCAAGATTTAACTAGATCAAATAGGTAACTACATTACTATTTGTCTGGGACTGATTGTCCAGAATAGTACTTTTATGATTTTCAAAAAATTTTAAGTTATGAAGCTTAATTATCCTTGGACTAGTCAGGTTGAACTGAGCATTGACAACTGTAAGGGAAATATTTTTCCTTAATTGTTTAAAGTTTAGGCTTACTTTCTAAACAATAAATATATTGACAGTAGAATAATAAATATTTAGTGACAACACAAATAGAATTGGGCAGATGTTTGCAGTACAGTAGATTCATGTTTACATATTTGTCATTTAGCTTCCCAGTGAATAAGGAAGTGTTTTGTCGTCGTAGGCAATGAGCATTCTTTGAAATCATCTCAAAATTTATTGCACCAAATTCACTAAATCTTAATTTGTAACCCGGACTCTGCTCCTTTCACTGTAATATGAAGGGACGGAAGCTCTGACAGAAATTTACTCTAGACATTAATTCCTTTTTAGGAGGTCTGCTGGATGATGCAAAGTTGCTGCAGTAGCTGTAGCAATTCTCTTACTCTGTAAATCAGTTTGCACAGAAATTCCTTTGATTTCTAACAAGCAAAAGATAACTGGAACATTCAGTGACTTGTTGTTTATTTATTTGCTTTTTACAGTTATTTTACGCATTCCAAGATGACCGTTACCTTTACATGGTGATGGAATACATGCCTGGTGGGGACCTTGTGAATTTAATGAGCAACTACGACGTTCCGGAGAAATGGGCAAGATTTTATACTGCTGAAGTTGTACTTGCATTAGATGCAATTCACTCAATGGGTTTTATACACAGGTGAAAAAGAAAAAAGTGTTACGTTAATGTTGTTTTATTCCTGGTGCTGCCAGAATGACTTTAATAATTGTTTAGGCAGTTTTAAAATGTATGATGTTACTACTTCCTTCTTATTTCGTAATTATTTCATCTTACAATTTCAAAGGTTCTTGACATCAGAAACTACAAGTCTGAGGTGATACAGAGGTACAGGTTTTCAGCAGACTAATATTCCTTAGTTTGGGAAGTAATAAAATTGTCCCACTTTACCAAGACATACAAGAACTGAAGTGGTATGAACATGCTGGCTCCAAAACAGTCCTTTTCTTTTGATTAGAAAAAGCTGTTTTGGGAACTTGATAGCAGTAGTATCCACTGTTAGGTGGTATTAACTCTCTGTTCTGCTTTTGAAGCCTCAGCTGGCATCAGTGACACATTAAACAAGAATCTGGGAACAATGTGAGGAAAGTCTTCCAGCCGCATGTTTTCTTGTAAGGGGCAAGATGGAAAACTGAGGTGCAGAACAAAGATTTGGCTTAGTTTCATATTATGTACTTGCCCTAAAGTGAAATGTAGTCTCTTATCAGATAGCTTGAGAAGTTTTCTTTTTGATATTTGAACTTTTATCTGTTGTTAGCTTTCAGTTGGATTAACTAGGAGCAGAAGAACATTATTTTTTCTGTAGAAAGTACAGGAAGAGTTTGAGGAAGACACAGTATATAAATTCTCAATTCGTAATCTGGCCAGAAGATCAGTGTTAACACATACGCTTCTGCAAAAAAACAAAAACAAAGCGAAACAAACCGTTAGTCCGTTGCTTGAGTAGGATCTAGGACATCATTAATTATGTAGTTATGCTACCTCTAATGCATAAGTTATCTGGCTGAAGGAACCATTTGTACATGTGTGTTGCAGGCCTTAGAAAGTAGGCATTAGAAGTTGCCAGCAGCACAGCGAGGTGGTTTTTTTCCAGAAAATCTAGATTATTTTGACACCAGCAGATTTTTTGGAATATGCTTTCCACTGGAGTTAATCTGTTCAAATCTGAGGAATGAAAGGAAAATGATGAAAATGTGGACCCACTCTTTAATGGATCAGGGACTTAGTGACAAAGGACATGGCAGTGACTAAGGCATTTACCTCAGCCTTTGTTGGTAAGGTCTGCTTTCAGGTCCCTCAGGTCCCTGTGCCTAGTGGCAGACCTTGGGAGGGTGAAGCATTGCGGTGGCAGAGGAAGATCACGCTGAGTCCCAGCTATGCCAAGTGGACGTACACATGTCCGAGGCACCAGGTGGGATGTACCAAGGCTTGAGAGGGAGCTGACCAGGATCCTGAAGATACTGCTCTCTGTCACCTCTGAAAGGTTGTGGCAGTTTGGAGATTCCTGATGACTGGAAAGAAACAAATGGCACACCCAGCTTGCCTGGAAAAGGGCAAGGAGGGGAGGATCAAGGGAACCTCAGACTGATCAGCCTGAGGGGCAGTCTTTGGGAATCTTACAGAGTAAATTCTCAGGATACCATTTCCAAGCATGTGGATGGGAAGGTGATTGGAACAGCTTGCATGGATTTACCAAGGATAAAGCATGACTTACCAACCCAGTTGCCTTTTGTGATGAGATGATGAGCTCCACTGATGAGGGGAGAACAGTGGGTATTTTTTGCCTTGTCTTCAGAAAGGTTGTTTGATGTAGCCAGATTGGAAAGACACGGTTTGAGTAGGTAGAACAAAGGGTTGTGCTCAGTAATAAAATGTCCAGCAGACAGTCAGCTACCAGTGATTCCTCAGAGGGTTGATACTGGGGTCAGCCCTGTGTGTTCATTCATAGAATCATAGAATTGTTTTGATTGGAAAAGACCTTTAAGATCATCGAGTCCAACTGTCAGTCTGGCTCTACCAAGTCTACCGTAAACCATGTCCCTAAGCCCTACATCAACTCATCTCTAAAAGGCCTCCAGGCCCTGGGCAGCCTGTTCCAATGCTTGACCATCTCTTCTGTGAAGAACTTTTTCCTATTATCCAAACTATTTCCTCTTGTCCTATCACTTGTAACTTGTAGAGGTGGGTGTTGGTCTCTTCTCTCAACCTTCTTTCAGGTAGTTGTAGAGGGCGATAAGGTCTTCCCTCAAGCTCCTTTTCTCCAGACTATGAGCAGTGTTCAGTGAGACAAGCATCAGTCATCAGCTGCCCATGAGGACTTTATAGACAAGATGGGGCCAAACTTGATGTTGTACAATGAAAAGGTGAAAGGCAGTGGATGACACAAGATACAACAAGGGGATATCTAGCTATTCATTAAGAAATATTTTTTTCACTATGAGGGTAGTCAGACAGTTGGAAGAGAGTCCCAGAGAGGCTGTGGAATCTCCATCCTTGAAAAAAAAATTCAAAACCTGACTGGATTTGACCCTGAGGAACCTAATAAAAGTTTGAAGTTGAATCTAACTTTGTTAGCTGTTCTTGCAGTTTACCAGGGGTCTCACACAAATCCCTCCCAGCTAAAGATATTCTGCAAGTATACTGATATATTTCCACTGCACTAAATTTGACAGTTAAGGCCAGAGTTCTTCGAGGTCCCAGTAGTGTACTTTCTCCTGAAATTCATGTTATGCTTTCTAAATAACTGTTTCCTACTGTTATTCTACTTCAGTATATTTAATAACAGTAGATGTGCTGAACTTCACCAGTTACTTTATGAAAACTTCTTTCGTATAACAGATGTACTTTGTGGAAAAGGCAATACTTCTTTTGAGCCATGGTAAATATTTGTTCACATTAATATAATTCTGAAAATGACAGTCATTTGTTCCCTTAAAATAGAAGTGATACAGAGAAGAAGCTGTGTTTTCAAGGCCTGTTTGGCATATCTAACTCGGAACCAGAATGGTCTTTTTTTTCCTGTAGCTGGACCCTAATGGAGGGTTACTTCAAGCAGTGAGTGTTTCTTAGGAACTTGAGGTTCAGGTTTAATGTCCATATTTGTTGAATTTGGTGACTTAAGGCTGTATTTTCACATCCATTATAATTCTTTCAAGTGTGGTAGTTCAGCAGTCTGTGTTGGACATGATACTTGCAGATTTAAAGAGTGGTGTTTTCATGTGGGTGTTCTTCCTTGCAATGTTGCATCTGAAAAATAGTTAATTTTTATTTCCACAAGTTAAGTTGATTTATATGCTTTTAAAAAGAACTATTTTCCCCTTTCAGAGATGTGAAGCCTGATAATATGCTGCTAGATAAAGCTGGTCATTTAAAACTAGCAGATTTTGGTACTTGTATGAAGATGAACAAGGTAAACATGTTTTTAATTTTGCTTTTCTGTTTGTGAATGGAAAACTTACTTAAAAGTGAAAAGGAAATATGCTGGAAACTTTTTAGCTAAATCAGAAGAGTTGAAAGTTCCACTCTGTTCCCGTTACTATTCTTTATGCATGTTACTCAGTGTCAATGTAGAATGCAGAAATGGTTCTTGAATTAGGGTCTGCATCAGCTTCTACACCAATTCCTAGAGGAATTTAATGAAGTCAAGTCAGGACTGTCTCCTGATCCTCTGGATTATTTCTTATTTAAGTCTTGGGTTATCAAAAGTTAATGCGAAGAAGTGGGATTATGTTTAGGTAGTGTGTCAGTCATGAAAGAATCAAAGCTGATGTCCAAGTTGCTGAATCCCAATTGTACTTATTAGCCGTATGCTGACTTAGTGAAAGGGCAAATCTGAAGGAAACAGGTATAAGACTGTCAGAATTTTTTTTATATATATATGTGGTCACTAAAAAAAGGTGTCTTGAATGTACTGTGAAGGCCTTGTTGTTTCCTATACAAAACTGATGGGTTTGTGTCAGCCTGCATATATATATGGGGAAAACAGTCTGAAATGCGTGGTACTTTAATAGTTTCTGTGTAATATGAACATTGTGTTCTCAACATATTCCAGCAGCTTTGAATAAATCACTGTATTTAGCTGCTTTGCCATAAATAAAAGGCATCAATGAAAACAAAGTGTCGATGATGTGTACAGATTCAAGGGGTTGCCTCACGTCACAAACTGTCCACTTCAGTGGAATAGCTGACACAAAATTTGGCTCTATTTTGACTCAATACAGATTTATCCTTCACTGATTGTGTTCTTAACAGTAAGGAATTTTGAAATACAGAGAAACGTTACCCTAGTGTTTAAACTATAAGCACAAGAAAAAAAGAGGAAAAATAACAGGAAACTTTGCTGTATATTGGCATTACCAAAGTAAATTTGTCAACAACATCTTACATTTTGTGCTGTTCTAAACAACACTAGCTGAGTAGTCTTAAGCCTAGTCTTTTGATAAAGAAAGCTTACTCTGTAGGAGAGAAATTGCTGAGCATAGGAGCTTAATTTAGGTGCATCCTGGACTTGGTGCATTTGCAACACTGGATTTAGATTTTTTTATATTTACTTAGCAGTATATTTTTATGAAAGGTTTTCTACTGATCCATTGCTAGAAATGGCATGGGATTATTTCAGAAGTGCCTGAATGGTACTGGAAAGGGGTGTATGGTTGCAGCTTCAGCATTCTGGATGCCAGCTCCAGCGTGACCGATCTCTGTTCTGCCAGCCCTTTATCAGGGGTGTGAGGAACATCAAACGTTCTTCTCACTGGTTCCCTGTTTTGAAGCCTGTTCTACACTTAGTCTCCTTGGCATTAAGTATTTTGGGTCACAGGTGAAAAACTTGCACTTTCGCTGATCCTGTCAGCAAACTCCTTGATGTTGACCCATTCATGCTAAGGGGAGCTTTCTCTGTTCATTATACCTTTATACTGGCATGAGCAGGAGAGGCTGTGCAGTGTTTAGAGGGCCTGGGCACTATTCTGCTTACTTCTTGGATATCAGCTGTGGTTTTTAAAGTAACTTTGACTGTGTTTGAAAAATCTGGTGCTTTGTTCTGGATTTAGTAGCTTAGAATTTAAAAATGTTGAAATACCCATTCAAAAAAAGAATGTTTATTGGGGAAAGTTGAACTGTTGATGTTGCTTAGGCTGCATAAACTCTTGGAAATGGCTTGCAATTTTGGGTCTTATATGTGGGCCTGGCTGTTTTCTTCCTCTTTGTAGGAAGGTATGGTACGATGTGATACGGCTGTGGGAACACCAGACTATATCTCTCCTGAAGTATTGAAGTCCCAGGGTGGTGATGGTTATTATGGGCGAGAATGCGACTGGTGGTCAGTTGGAGTCTTTTTATATGAGATGCTTGTAGGTGAGTAGTAGTTTAACCAGAACGGACTACACTACGTAACTGGACTCCGTGTTAAATTACTCTTCTGACATAAACTGTGGTTTACTGCTCCTGGTATTTACAGAATGTTTTGGAAATACTCTGACACAGTTCTCAAACGTTTGCCCTTGCCTCTTGTTCACTTAGTTGCTTACATTGTTACATATGTAATTTAAATATTAGAAATTAACCCTACAGTAATTTTAATCTGCTTTTTAATTTTTGCGTTGCTGCTTTTTCAGGTGATACGCCTTTTTATGCAGATTCTTTGGTTGGAACATACAGTAAGATTATGAACCATAAGAACTCCCTTACTTTCCCTGATGACAATGAGATTTCTAAAGAGGCAAAAAACCTTATTTGTGCCTTTTTAACTGATAGGTAAGATTTAAATTTTACTCAGAATGAAAGTAGACCTTTGTTAAGAGAATATCTTCTCATGTTGAAAGAACATACATATATGTATTTTTTTTGTGTGGGTTTCTAAACTGCTATAGAGAAGTGAAACTCTTACTGTCTTGGCATGAATGCAGTGTCCCTCACATTTCCATTTAGACGCTGCTACAGTTAGGTGGTTTTCTGATCTGTGAATGCATTTCTGTTAGTTGCATGTTCTCCTTCATAGGAAGTGAGCTTTATTTTTCTCTGAACTACAGCAATATAAGAAACTGTTAGCCCTTAAGTACCATTAGTGCTTTAAGTACAGAAAGGCTTTTTAACTTGTTACTCAAGAATTTATTAGAACCTCAGTCTAAGTCTTCAAGTTACTTTGTCTACATTGAAGCTGCTTTTTGTCTAACCCCAAGCAATAGTTACTAACTGTTGTTACAGTGACCTTGACACGCAGTAGCATAAGTTTCATCTTTTTCAGTCCCAGTATTTGGAAGAGGAGTCACCAATGGTTGCTGCTGCCCTTTGTGGTAGAGGCATGTGTACTGGGGAAAGAGAAGTGCTGCAACTATGCATTATGTCTACCTCATAAATTTATTTTGAATATCATAGAATCACAGAATGGTTTGAGTTGGAAGGGACCATAAAGATCATCTAGTTCCAACCCCCCTGCCATGGGCAGGGACACCTTCCACTATCAGACCAGATTGCTCAAAGCCACATCCAGCCTGGCCTTGAACACTTCCAGGGAGGGGACATCCACAGCTTCTCGGGGCAGCCTGTTCCAGTGCCTCACCACCCTCTCTGGGAAGAATTTCTGCCTGACATCTAATCTGAACCTCCCCACTTTCAATTTAAACTCATTCCCCCTTGTCCTGTCACTACAGGCCCTTGTAAAAAGTCCCTCCCCCCTTCCTCGTAGCCCCTTCAGGTACTGGAAAGCTGCAATGAGGTCTCCCCGGAGCCTTCTCTTCTCCAGGCTGAACAAGCCCAACTCTCTCAGCCTGTCCCCATAGCAGAGGTCATCCAGCGATCTGAGCATCTTCGTGACTTCCTCTGGACTCGCTCCAAGCGGTCAATATCCTTCTGATGTTGAGGGCTCCACAGCTGGACGCAGCTCTCCAGGTGGGGTCTCACAAGAGCAAAGGGGGAGAATCCTCTCCCTGGACCTGCTGGCCACACTTCTCCTGATACAGCCGAGGATACAGGTGGCTTTCTGGGCTGCCAGCGCACACAGCTGGCTCATGTTCAGCTTTTCATCCCCCAGTACTCCCAAGTCCTCCTCCTCAGGGCTGATCTCGATCCATTTTCCACCCATATGAAGTGTTAATCCTTAGTAATAGCTACTATTACATTGGTTTGTGTTGCACAGTGGCAAGGGGCACACAAAACAGATTCCTTTTGGATGAATCTAAAGCAAAAAGATGCGTTTCAGGAGCGTCCCTAATGTACTCCCAGCTTTTTGTGGGCATTCAGGATTGGGGTAGCTTCAGCGGACTGGAAGCCCATCTGAAACGTGGGTGTTAGGTCTCTTTCACTTTGTGTGCATGCTCCTGTTGTACCCACGCTGCTTTAATACAGGCATAACCTTTGCTTGCGAACTGGTGCTATGAAGGAAGGGGGTCTTGTGTTTACTGGGCTGCATGTGATTGGAACAGCAGCATCAGCTCCTAGAAAAAGTGGAACCTAACTGCTGCTTGGCAGCTGCCTGGCTGGTCCGTGATGGTGGAGTAGCAGCAGGGCTTCTCATAGGCGGGACTTCAAACCAGACTGTGTTCTGAGACCTAGCTGCTGTTCTGCTGTAGACATCTTCATGTGAAAAGTTTGAGAAACATCTACGTCTTACCTTAGTTTGGGAGGGGTTTTTTTGTCTTTGTTGTCAGATTACACCTTAAAATGAGTCCTTCAGAATAATTTATGTAGTCTCCCATGTTTAACCAAAACACTCTTTTAACAGGGAAGTCAGGCTAGGACGAAATGGCGTAGAAGAAATTAAACGGCACCTTTTTTTCAAGAATGATCAATGGGCTTGGGAAACTCTGAGAGACAGTAAGTATAATGCATTTCTTCGAGACAGTGGTCCGGCTTAATGATGTGTCATGTTAGCAAAAGGACTGCCATGTTTCTTGTAATGGAATGTAAAGATTTATTTATTCTGTACCAAGGAAAGAGATTTCTTAGTCAGTATTGAACTATTCTACTTTTTTTCTAGCTGTGGCACCAGTTGTGCCTGACTTAAGTAGTGACATTGACACCAGTAATTTTGATGATCTGGAAGAAGACAAAGGAGAGGAAGAAACATTTCCCATACCTAAAGCTTTTGTGGGCAACCAGCTTCCTTTTGTAGGATTTACGTACTACAGCAACCGTCGGTATGTATGCAGAAAGCAAGTTAATGGTGTCAGCATTGTTCCTGAATCTTATCAACCAGTATTTAGCTACAAGCCTATTCAGATTCTTCATACTTGATTCAGAATACTAATGAATTATACTCTTTTGACACTTTGATAATGATAACCAGTACTGCTAGTCATCAGTAGCTTTATATATCACAGTGGTTTTGTGAATGTCTTGTTCTGCATTAAAAATATTATATAGTGGTGCTGCAGAAGGTAAGTAAGAAAAATCCACTGTTGCTGCTACTGGGCAGAGCTGCCTGCAGAGCACGGAATGATATGTGTGGAGTTCAGGGGTCTGGATGTCACTTTGTTTAACTGTGAATTACTGCTCATGATCTGTATATGAACGTTCCGTACTCTGTACATCAATGTTTTAGCATGTGATAAATTAAACCTTGGCTTACTAGGAAAAAAATATTTTCTACTTGCCTCTTATTGGCTTCATAACTTTTTTTTCCACAGTACCATCCACTGCAGAGTGAGATTGTGATGCTGTACAGTTTTCACTGTTGCTTAGACGACTTTATCATTTTAACTGATGTAATTTGTTAAATCATACTTTCAACAGTCATTATTACCATGGGCACTATGGATAGCTATAGCTATGTTCAAAAATCTCAGTAGATTTTCTTACTTTGAAAGCTGCTTTTAATTGTGGTGGGTTAAAGTGAGCTAAAACTGCTAGCAGGCCATGTCAGATAGATACTATTAGTTTTAATAGCATTTCTGGATAGGAAAGCCTTAAAGGAAACAAATCTGGTTTTCATCCTTGCATAGAAGAGGAACCACTCTTCCAAGCCTGTGGTGAAATTCTTTCCGTCTCTGCAAGGAGTTGGAACTGTTGTTGCTTTCTGCATAGTAAGGGGTAGGAGGACTTGCAAGCTTTCCATACAGTTTGTGTGAGTTCAGCAGTTTCACCTACTGTTCTGATTTTAGTCTAGGACTTAGGAAAATCTTAATTTTTTGCTTGCAAGAAGATTTTGGAATATGGTATCAAGAAGGTGAAGTAGCATACAGAAGCTTGTTAGTAACAGAATTTCTTCTTTCCCCCTCTTCCTTCTTGGGGGAGAGTATCAGGAATTTAGACAACTGTGTTTTGCTGTCATTGAAGGCTGCTAATAGATAGAATCATAACTTTGTATGCTTACTAGAACTAAAATGCTACCCTAGAATTGAGGTTTGTCCCGGAATAGTCTGCTGGTGTGATAGTCTTGAAAAGTCTGAAGCAACGCTTCATACTTATTAAACCTGCAGTCCTAATTTTTGTTCCCTTTTTGTATTGAAAATAGTTCAAACATTTAAAACGATTATACATTTAGAACAAAGTTGCACGTATATCTTCTTCCCTCCTTCAGTTTCCTTTCATTCATGTATGCCGGGGAGTTTAAAGGAGAGGAACTCTAGGAAAATGATGTGACTTTTGTCTTTAAAGGAAACAGTACAATCTTTTACTATAGGATACTTTCTGCAGCTGTAATCTCATTGACTGCACACTAGCAATTATGGTGGTTTATTGTTGAACTTCACCTATAACAGAGATTTTGGAAGACTATCCGAGAACACTTTGCAGCCCTACCTGGCTTGTGTGTTCTCTTCTGGATTCTGATGGAGCTGGTGCTGTGCCTGTTTAAATAGCACATTCTTGCTGCTCAGCAGCCGTGGTGTGCAACGTATGGCGGCTTCTTCTACTCAAGACAGCAAGCTCCTTTCTGTAGGAAACGCTCCTTTTCTTCTTTGTCATTTGATTGTCTCAAAGCAGTGTCCTTGTTTAATTTGACCATGGCTTTCGAGATGTCTTTGATTTTACCCTCCTTCATCTTTTGGAGAAGTTTTTGTATATGTGAAAATAATGCGTGTGAAACAAAAAAGAGGACGTGTCCGTATTCCTCAGGTCATGTGTTGGAGAGTTTTTCCTCACATAATCTGATGCAGTTAGAGATGCTTTACATCTAGATCAGTTACCAGGCCAATAATATCACATCAAATACCAAAGGAATTTGAAGATTGTGATTTGTATTTATTTGACTCTTCAGAATCACGACAAATAGAATTTATGGTGTTTTTAAACACATAAAATAAGAACGCTAGCTTTGAGGCAAGCTTTTTTTGTATGGAATTCTTAGTAACTTCATTGGACGTTACACAATCTCCAAAGGGAGATTCTTCATTGCTGCTACTTGCTGCATAAGTGCCTGAGTAAATATTTATGGGATGGAAGCCAATGGGACTGTTGTAACCATGGAAAGCAAAGATTTTTTTTAATGGTTATTAAAAAAAAGAAAAGTGGTTGTATTAGTATTTGGCAGAAATCCTTTTTTTTGGAGGTCTTCTACTGCAGCTTTCTACTTTACCCTTTACAATAAATTAGGTTGAGTTTTTCACTTAAATGTACTTAAATCTTTAAGTATAATAAGTGCAGGAAAAAAATCTGACTATGTTACTATTTGTTTATCCATATTCTGGAGCAAAAAATCTGGAGGTTATGTTTTAGGGAGATTGTATAATGTTTTTTATAACTTTGCTTTTAAGTAACTCTTAAAACTTTTAAAATGTTGTTACAGGTATTTAGCTGTCTCTGCAGAAAACTCCAATGATAACAGAACAGGCTCCAGTGTGGATAAAAGTGTGGTATGTCTCACTGCTTTTCAGCTTTGTTGGATCCTAGTGAAGAATCTGTTAAGTATATGGGAATAAACTGTTTTGAGTTCTAAATGTCTCAGATTATTTTAGTGCTTGGTATAAGGGAAATCAGTGTATAAATTTTAACTGTTAGTATGGTCTGCCTATTCAAGTTGTTGGAAAAACAGAATTTCAGTTCTTGATTCTCCTGGATTGGGATACAATAGCTGAAACTGCATGCTCTTTTTGTGGAACGGGATTCACCGTTTCTATCTTCAGAAATGTCAAAGTGTTTGTACAGTATTTTTAGAGTGCCTCATCCATCCCAGGTATACACAGCCTTTGTGGCAATCATGGAGCCTGGACCCAAGTGTGATGGGAAGCTTGGGCTTTCCCGCAACCTGCCGGTTTAACACTGGGACTGGACTTCCTGTGACCTGAGTGGGAGGTGGCAGATAATGTACCAAGCTCGGGTATTCTGCCCCTTCCCAAGGGTGCCCCACAAGCTATTGGGAATTTGGACACTGAGGATCTGCATTTACAGAGCAAGAAACGTTCAGCCATTCTTTCAGTTACTGCTCCCCAAGCTGCTTAGCAGTCAGGTTTCCAGGAACGTATGCTGAGGTGTTGGAAACAGGGCCTGCTTGGATTCTGTGTAAGCTCTGGTGTAAATCAAGCTATTCCCTTAGAATGGTTTGATATTTTACAAATTACGTTCTTTCCAGAAGAAAATACTGTCCAAAAATTGATAATTAACTCTAAAAGACATCTTCTTGGCTCTGACTAGGATTTACTTTGTTAGTATTTTGTTCTGCTTTCCATTTAGAGTAGAAGAGGAGGAGATAACAAGATAATGGGGAGGAGATAAAGTTGCCATATGAAGGTTTTAATGATATACGGTATTATCCAGAGAAAATTTGTAAAGGGTAGGGGAACTGAGTATGTACTTTATTGGGCTAACTGAAGTTATTAAGCATTGAAGTGTCTTGATTTCTTTATGTAAGTTGCTGTGTTTTCCTCATAAGCATTTGGCTGTTGATATGGTAAAATTAAAAACAGAGCCAGACTTGCAAATATTTGCAGATACTTAAGATACTGTGCTGGCCTTTGGTTGACTTTGAGGAGAGTAACTGAATGGACTTGGCATAATTAGTGGGATACAGGCACCTGCATGTTGTTAAAGAACCCTTGAGTCCTGTCCATATTGTCAGATGTATTTGAATGTCTTGTGATTTCTGAGTTTTGGGAGGTGAAGTTTTGGAAGGATGAGAGTGATACAGAGGTTTAAATAAATGTTCCGTCTTTACTACAAGGTATTTTTACCCCACAGTTCTTTCTCAGCTGTTTTTCTTTCATTACATGCTGCAATGAAAACGGTAACGTGTACACATGGTTAGCAAATTAATTAGTTCCGGAAATATAACACAAGATGTTACCTGGTCTGTCTGCATTTTGGCATGGTACTGAGTGTCTTCTGGGAGGGACCGAGTGCCAGGAATTTCCAAGAAATTCATTTTGTTTTGCAAGTGTATAAAACTTCACAGAATCAGGCCATGAAGTTGAAGGAAAATGGTATTCCAATATCCTTTAATTATTCAATGTCCTTTAACTGAATTTCAAATCCTTTGGTGATCTGATTATTTATTTGGTTTAGTGTTACCGTAACCAACCTGTAAGCAGGTCAGATATTAAGAAAGAGGAGATTGGCAGGGTCCTTTGCACTAGGTCTTTGGTTTTCTTCATTGTTCAGGGCGCAGAACCAGATGCACTATGCCATGGTGATTTAGAAAAAAGAAAAAAGTGTGGGTGTTCCAAAGGGACTTTTCTTGGCTTCTGTGCTGTAGGCAGGCTTTTCTGTATTCCTTTTTTCTCTCACCTCATACTCAAAGTGGAAACTGAGAATAAACCAAAACATAAAGGAATGTTTATACCTTTATACCGAGTTAATTGTAACTCAGGATTTTCTCAAGGTGTTATTTAGTCTATTGATACCCAATTGTGCAAAACCTCTCTGGAAGCCTGTTGTCTCTTACTAATGAGACTGCTCAGCGAGCTTAGATAGGCCCCTTGGGGTAGAGCGCTATAAAAGCATCCAGAGACAGAAAGAAGCAAGAGGAGGCAGTCGAGGTCCAAACTAGTAGGAGTCAGTACAGAAATGCCTCAGTTGCCAGATGTCTTTTTGGACCTGTTCCTCATCCATCCCATTTAGTTCCTTCATGCAGCCTATCTGGAAGGGCGATAAAAAGAGTAACCAAGAAATGGAAGAGCAATTATGTTGAAATTTCTTTATCCTTTATTTTTGTGCATTAGCTGTGGTGCCTTTCTAGTAAAGTGACAGCTAGCCTTTGCAGTCTTGCTTCTTGCTTTATTTCTCAGTGGTTCATACTGGGGAGATAAATGGGTCATGGTACTGGTCTTTCCTCCTTTTTTCTCAAAGTTTAGATTGAGAGGCAATCTCTGTGGTTTTTGACTACAACCATTGTCTCATCCCCATGGTGTTACGTTGCATGTCTCATCGCTAAGTGGTTTTCCAGAGCTGTTCTCTAAGTGCTGAGAGTCTATTTTTTCCAGTGTTTCCTTGTTTTCCCAAGGCTTTGTGATGGATAGTGGTAAATACATAGAGTGGTAAATATGTAAAACGTGTAGTTTCTGGTTCGTCCCCAGTCTTCATGTTGGTGTTCTTCCTCTGCAAACTTCAGAGCAGCTTAAGAATGTGGAAGAAAGAAAAAGGAGGAAACGAGAAAGGGTCTCCAGTTCTTGAGAGCACCTGAGTGCTGCTTTATTTCCTCCTACAATGGGAAGGAGATTGAAAGTAGCAAGTTAGAAAAACGCCTGCCTGGAAGTAGGCAAAAATAATCTCACCTATAACTTTCTTATTTAATGTGGATAAAGCATGCTATAACACGTCTCCAGTATGTCCAGTTAGGACTGTGCAGAGGGCAGTCCTTGTGGAGAACACTTACTGCTGCTGTCACAAAAGAATGGAGACAAGTGTAATTTGTGTCCTCCTTCATGATCTTAGTGAGCAGTTCTAGTTTCTCGAAGCATATTTTATGGGAAAAGGAAAAAAGAAAGAGCAAATGTGGGAGCAACTGTTCTGTTGCTCCTCTTTCTGGGATGACTGTGCAGAAGGAGTCTTGACAGTTGTCAGAATTAATGAAGTTAGAACAGGGAACAAGAAAGAAAGCAAAGGGTCAGAAGCACTTGAATATGTTGATCTGAAGAGAGTCTAGGTTAGGACTGTAATTCTTCTCTATGCAGTTCCGTGAGTGTTGAGGGAAGAGTGAGAAACCTAAGTAAGGTTGAAATCCTGGCAAGATCAGCTAAAAGGTTTAAAAGAGTGCATCAGCATGTCCTTGACTTAATGAGCTTCCTCAGAGTTGTCACTATCTTGTTAATTGAGGATTTTACTGATATTGGAGTGGGATTATTGTGCCCAGAGATCCAATAGAAGGTAGATATTTTGAGGCTACATGGAAAGAATAAATTTCTGAATTCATCTTGCTGGCAAACAGTATATGCTATACAGAATGTTCTCTATTAACATCTGAAGCTTGTGACTATTTTCAGCCCTTAGTACAGTGCTAGCTGTAAAAATTATCTCTGACTAAATAGATGTTAAAAGTATTCCCACCCCACTGCTAATAACTGTCAGGTCTGGTTCTGCTTCCTGAACGTGTTGAGAGCTTGAAGATGGGTTACAAAATACACATGGTGGTTTGTGGTAGAAAAAGAAATTTTGAGACTAATTAAAATGCTTTCTTAGGTCTTTGCAGAATCCTACTTATCCTATCCTAAAGATATTACTGAAGATGCTTAAAACAAGGAAGATTTGACTTAGCTTAGCCCTGTGAATTTTGATGGAACTATTCAGAGACCTAAAATTTTATGTATGTTCTAATGATAGAATGGCATAATATAGAAGGTGTTTCTCATAATTAACCTTTTTATAATTGGGGGGATCACATATTAGTAAGGTAAAAATCTAGTGTTTAGATAGAAATGAGTAAGCTGTGATACAACATGAGCAGCACTGAATATTCTGAAATATTTTTTTAAGTTTTTAAATTTAATGCATGTTCTTTCATGTACAAATATATACTTAAAGTTGGAAAATATGCAGAAGATGATCTATGAGTTGGAAGAGCAACTACATAATGAAATGCAGTTGAAAGATGAAATGGAGCAAAAGTGCAGGTGAGACTTTGAACTTCAATGTTTACATAATTTAAATACATCTAACACTTCAATTCTTTATTACTGCTTTAGGGATTACCAGAATAACATCAAGGGTAGCACTGTAGTTCTTCAAGAGAGTTCCAGGCACTGGTTTAAGTCATTCTAAAGCAACATCTTAATGGTTTTCTTCAACATAGTATGAAGAAAATGTTTTCTTTTCATTGGCACCCATGTAACACACATTCTTTCTGAACACTTGAATGTTTGAGTTTACTTGATATCTCTGAATTCAGGTGTTTTATTGGACTGAGGTACACAGTGATTGTGCTGATTTAAAAAAAAAAAAAAAAACAAAACAAACTGTATATACGGCATATATTGGATCATTGAAGTACACAGTGATTGTGCTGATTTAAAAAAAAAACACACAAAACAAAACAAACTGTATATACGGCATATAATCACTGAAATCATTGAAATTAACTGTCTGGTTTCTAAATACATGGTACTTGTTGGAAAACCACTTTTTTTTTCCTGTGACTGATAGGTAAGAATGACTATTTGCTTTCTAAAGTCTTTTTTGTACCATGTTGAAGAAGTAGCCATGTGAGAATATCCTACTTTTTCCACCGACACTTACGAACAAACAGTCGGGATTATTTTTTTCTGATAATCAGAAGTTTTTACTCAGATTCATGCAAACTAAATTTCCCCTTCAGTTAGCTTCTCCTTTTGAAGTCTTTTCCTGAAGGCCTAAATAAAGCCAGAAGGCAACACAAGGTATAGGAAGAATTAAGACTTGCAACTTAGGACGAGAGTGTGTAGCTGTACAAGGCACTTACGTGGGAACTAGTAGCCAAAATGATCTGGTGGGAATTTAGACTGTGTCACACTGTTGCTTACTTAAACACAGCTTCACTGTACACATGTTCCGCTTGCTTTCCACAACCAGGACATAAGTTGCCTGAAAGATACTCAGTAGCTGTCTTCCTGCAGGACTGCTGAAGTTGTCAGAACACAGCAGTATGTCTACTGATGCATCACGCAGTTAACTGCCGAGTTAGTAGATAAGATGTATTGCTGTAACTGTGCCTTATCGAACCTCCCAGGTAACAGTGCCTGGGTCATTTTTGTAATCATAGAATCACAGCATGGTTTGGGTTGGAAGGGACCTTAAAGATCATCTAGTTCCACCCCCCCTGCCATGGGCAGGGACACCTTCCACTAGACCAGGTTGCTCAAAGCCTCATCCAGCCTGGCCTTGAACACTTCCAGGGATGGGGCATCCACAGCTTCTCTGGGCAACCTGTTCCAGTGCCTCACCGTGAAGAATTTTTTCCTTACAGCTATTTTAAATCTGCCTTCCTTCAGTTTAACCTCTTAATTTCAGTTCTCTGTTTGAAGAGGGATAGCTAGCTACAAAAAATGCAAGGGTTGTGTCAATGTTCTTGCCCATTAGCTGAGGTTTTACTAGGCACTGAGCTTCACTCTTTCTATAATACTATGTGGTACATGGCTTCAACAAAGGGACTTCTAAATAATATTATTCAAGTATCTTCATCCATAGTAGGGAGCTGTCTGCTATTGAATTAATGAACCGTTTTAGGTATTGGGGATGTTCACAACTAGAGGAAATTTTAGCAGTTTGCCAGGGTATTCTATTTGAGTGATAGCCTGTTGTGTACAGATACATTACATTATATTACATTTGCAGATAAAGAGAGAAAAGGTGGCACCTCAAGTTCTGTGTAGTCTGGAACAAAGTTGGTAAACACTTTAATATATTTTACAAATTGTTTCAAGGGATTGATTGTCTTCTTCAGTTTCAAATGTTTATTACAAAATAGCATTAGCCAAAATATAAATGTTCACTTTAGTAACTGTCCCAAGTTATTTAGCTAGAAAAATTCTGTGTATAATGTATCCTTCTCATCTATTACTTAAATGATTTTGTTCTACTTTTAGATCTTCAAACATAAAGCTGGACAAGATAATGAAAGAACTGGATGAAGAGGTAATTTTTTTCCTCAGTGAAGCCGCCTTAGTTGAGTAAAGAATGTGGCTAGCACTTTCATGTTTTAAGGTATTTCTTCTGGGACTAAAAAAAAATTGTTCTGAATTTAAATTTGAGACTAAACCATCACATTTCATTGCAAAGAACTGGGAGATGTATTTTTATTTGTACACCTTTTCAAAAACTTTCTTTCTGTAAGTCACTCTGAACTTGGTTTCCTCTGCTAAATGTGTTGCCTAGTCTTGCTCATCATGACTTTTCTGGAGTTTATCAAAATCAGTTTCTCTTAAAATTAATGTACAGGTTTCATAAATGTCATATTGAAGTTAAAGCCATCTTTTCTGAAAACATTTCCAGAAACTCATTCATTGGAAATGAACTGATGCATCAGTTTCCTTGATTAATTAGTTGCAGAGATAATGGTTTAGGGATCATTCCTTAAAATGTAAATAGAAAATACCAATGCTTTTAACTTTAGGGAAATCAAAGGAAGAATTTGGAATCAGCAGTGTCTCAGATTGAGAAGGAAAAGATGGTATTGCAACATAAGATAAACGACTACCAAAGAAAAATTGAACAGGAGAATGAAAAAAGACGGAATGTGGAAAATGAAGGTATGCCATGTTGTCCAAACGCTGACGCTTAGGAGGTGCATGATATGTTTTGGGGAGTAATTTACCACTTTAGCATGTCAAGTACTACACACATTTAAAGGGATATTTTCAAATAATGAACACTAATTTTGAGTTTGAGCTTTAATGAGAACATGATATTTTTTGTCTTATTTTCAAATTCTGTTCTTTATAGTGTGTGGTGGTGTTCTGAAAGCACAGAATTTGACCTGAAAACATATATAAGAAGCAGAAAGTCAACAAAAGACCTATTATGTCAAGAACTTATTTGAGAGTTTGTGTAAAATAAATAAATAAGTAAATAAAATTCTTAGGCTGGTTTTGTCTAGGTTTTGTCTTTTTTGTTTTATCTTCTGTATTAATGGTGTAATTTCTCTTTAGTGTCCACGCTAAAAGATCAGATGGAAGACTTGAAAAAAATCAGCCAGCATTCACAAATTACAAATGACAAGATAACACAATTACAAAAACAAGTATGTTGCTTCTGTTCATTGTCTTCATTAGTTCTTAGATTTAAAAAGCAGTATTGAGTATTTGGATATCACAAAACTGGTCCCAATATTTTTTTATGTTTGAGAAACGTGTCTGTTTTATTTTAACAGCTAGAAGAAGCAAATGACTTGCTGAGGACAGAATCGGATACAGCAGCAAGACTGCGAAAGGGTAACACAGAAATGAGCAAGTCATTAAGTCAAGTAGAATCACTGAATAGAGAACTGCAGGAAAGGTGCAGAGTTCTAGAAAGCACAAAACTGCAGGTGGAGAAAGATTATTACCAACTGCAAGCAGCTTTGGAGTCAGAACGAAGGGACAGAAGTCATGGATCTGAAATGATTGGAGAACTGCAGGGTAATTCTTCTGTATTTATACTTTACTAAAAAAATGTGATCACCCTTGTTTATTAAATAAAGAACAGTTACATAAAGGGAGGAAAGGCAACTTGCAAACTGAGTGTGACTTAATAGAACAATTTCTGAAGACTGTATCTTGCTTCCTGACGATGTGGCTCTTGGGAGGGAGAGTGTCAAAATCAAAGAGCGAGAAACCATTGATTGTAAGTCTGTGGGGTTGCCCTGCTTAAAGGTCTGAGTCCAGTGGTACAGAAATATTAAAAGCTGCTATAGAGAAGACGCAACACTGTGTCGTACTGCCTTGGTGAGCTGGCCGAGGTGAAATGGCTCTGAAATGGCTGAGTGTAGTTTGATCAGGTCTGTTGTTAGTTGCATGAAGGAGGTACAAGTGGCACAAGAAAACTATCCGGTGCACTTCAAAATGTGTTTTTGGCCACATCCAACTCAGCAGCCTGCAGGAAAAGGACCTTTTTCTGAAGGGTGTGAGGCTAAGGTGCTTGCTGGTATATATGCACATAGTTATATGTAGTTCAGATACTCGTACAGCTGGTTTTAAAAGTGCATTTGATATCAATTAAAAAAACATAAGAACTAGAAAGACTTTCTCTTCTTCCACCTCCTAGTTTTTTACATATTGCCAGCATATCTCTCTGTACTTAAAAATGTGAAGCAAACTGTACTGTACATAGATACATTTGATAGGTGTATTTCTGTGTACTGTATTTAAGGTATTAAGTGTCATAGAGTTTTATCTGTTTCATTGTAAAGAGATAATGCAAAATCTTCAGTTTAGAAATACATACTGCTACTTCAGCTTATATGTATACTACTGTGGCATCTCTACATGTGTGTATATTTATATATATACACACACATACACACTCTACTACTAAAGCTCCGGGGGAGAACTTGTGGCAGGCAGCCTTTCAATAGTTAAAGGGGGCTTAAAAGAAAGATGGAGGTGGACTTCTTACCAGGGCCTGTAGTGTCAGGACAATGGGCAATGGGTTTCACCTGTAAGAGAGTAGATCTACATTAGATATAAGGAAGAAATTTTTTACGATGAGGCACTGGAACAGGTTGCCCGGAGAAGCTGTGGATGCCCCATCCCTGGAAGTGTTCAAGGCCAGGCTGGATGAGGCTTTGAGCAACCCGGTCTAGTGGAAGGTGTCCCTGCCCATGGCAGGGGGGTTGGAACTGGATGGTCTTTGAGGTCCCTTCCAACCCAAACCATTCTGTGATTCCACTTGGTATTTAGTATCAACTTCTTATGCCACACAGGGTCTTGTGGTGGATGCTGGGAGGGGGGAGGGGGGGCATGGGAAATAGTTCCCTTATCCATGGCAGAGCACTTGAGTAACAGTTAGGTGAATACATGTTGTATTAGTACCTCTAGATCCATTTGAGACTGAATTTCTGTGTAATGTGCCTTATCTACAAACAAGTGGAGTTACCATCAGGGAAGGTGCATGTTACATAGCTCAGCAGAACTTGGACTAATGGAACAAATAATTTTTTTATTAGATACTGGGAGTGATGGAAGGCAGGTACCAAGTTTGCATGTGATTGTTTTTTGTGAATTGTTACTAATGGCATACATAAGGAGTGGCTGAAAAGAGCAGTTTCCTTTACAATGTACAGCCTTTGCGTGTCAGAATCATTTGAAGGTGTAAATATTTTAGGGGCCCAGAAATCAATGAAAGCTGAAAAGCCTATCTATTGAAGAGAATTAACTAATATTGAATGATACTGAATTTCTTATGACAGTTCGGATTACAACTTTACAAGAAGAAGTAAAAAACATTAAAAACAACCTTGAAAGAGTGGAAGCAGAAAGAAAACAAGCACAGGATATGCTTAATCATTCAGAAAAGGTATGGTAGAGTGCTGTTGATGCGAGTGTTCTTAGTCAGCTTTTGATTATATTTTGAAATAGTATTTAAGCTAAGAACGTTAAGTCCTCTGTTCTTGCTCTAAATCCATCTAGTGTTAAAATGATTAACTGAACAGTGCTAATCTACAATCTCATCAGGATGCTGAGTTGCACAAGTGCTCAGGTAGTTCTTACTTGCAGCTTTGGGTGTAAAATTCATTTTTGTCATTCATTGTCACCAATTCAAGGAGCCAACCCTTTATCTGTAGCAAGTAGCTTTTATTCTGCCTGCCTAACTATTGCTACAGAGGCTTGCCTCCTGAAAATCTATGAATTGAACTTTTGAAAAACCTGACACTTAAATCTCTGCTTTTACTGGATTTCAATTTGGCTGGATTAGTGCCAGACCTTTAGTTCAATTTTGGAGCTGAACCACTTCAATTTTTTTCCTCCCTTCCTAAAAATGGTAACCGCACGTTCCCCTAACATCTGTGATCTGCGCCCCAAGATAGAGAAACACATAAGGAAGAGTAAAAGGAAATCCTGCACCTTTTTTTTCCAGATAGGCTACGTTGTTAGCTCTCTGTTTGAGGCCAGGTAAAGGCTTGCTGTGTTGTGTGGTCTATCCAAATAAACCAGAGAGGCATGACTACCTGTGAGGGAAGGTGCAGGCAGTTACTCTTCTCATTTGATGTTATGTGAAGCCACAATTCAAAGGCAAGTCCTGTCTCTCGAAGGTCATCTCGTTTCATGAGTTAATGGCTGGCAATCCCAACAATGGAATAACAGAATTACATTCAGGTAGCAATAATTCCTCTGTGCTCTAGTGGTGTTGGTGGATTAGTTGTATGTTTCCAGTTTTAGGTGACTACTAATTATTCAAACTGAGAATTTTCCATTTTCCTGCAAATTTATAGACGACTGAAAAAAGTTGATGAAGTTTTTCCCCAGAGCACTGAGTACAGTTTTTGTGGTACCACTCATTATTAAGCGTGGAAAATCATGTCGCTAATTTCTTCATAACAAAAAGCTAGCACTAAAAAACCAGAAGGAAATGTGATTCCTCGAGATATTATAGAAATATTATAGAAAACTGGTAACTTTTTCCCATTATCTTTAGGAAAAGAATAACTTAGAGATAGATTTGAACTACAAGCTCAAATCATTACAAGACCGTTTAGAACAGGAAGTAAATGAACACAAAGTGACTAAAGCGCGATTAACTGACAAACATCAGTCAATAGAGGAGGCAAGATCAGTTGCAATGTGTGGTAAGTGTTTCCTGCAAGTTTCAGGTAAATATGTAATAAAAAGTATTTTGATTATGATCTGTTAAAACACGTTGGTTTATAATGTCGTGCTCTCATACAAATGTTAAATCCCTCGTATAGAGAAAATACCTATAAAAAATTTAAAACATGCTTCATCTTCATGAAAACTACACTTCCTGAAGTATTTTCTCTAATATGGTACTTGTACCATGAGAAGTGCATTATTTCTTAATGTTTTGAGTATCTTATTCAAAGCCTTCCTTTGGCTTTGGAATTGTATTGAATCTTGACATTCTGACTAATGCTAAATGGAATTGAAAGGGTGGATTATTAAGACACAATGTGAGAGAGATACATCTCCATGAATAAAAGATGTGTCTTGATATCTTAATGGAATACATCAGGTTTCCTCTGTGAAGGTCATCGGTACCTCCATGTGCAGTTTGTAACTTTTCAGAAAGCTAACACGAATGATAGCATCTCTCTTCTTTCCCTCTACTATCCTTTCCTGGAAATTAAACTTTGCCTTTATTTTATAATGGATTACTTCAAGAATCTGCAGTTTTTCTTTCTTTCACTATTTGTCATGATAATATTTCAGTGCTTTGAATGCAAATTGGAATTATATTTCTTTTTTAGTGTTTCCTGTAATAGTGCCAGGAAGTTTTTACTCAGTAATCAGTCCAACAGCAGAAGAGCTTACATAGCTGAACAAAAGGATCTGAAAAATATTAGGATACTTAAGACTGTGTTTACGAAAACATTCTTGCAGATGCTACATATTCATTTTTGTTGTTTTTCTCTTCTTAATCTTGTTCAGAAATGGAAAAAAAGGTAAAGGAAGAAAGGGCAGCAAGAGAAAAGGCAGAAAATCGGATAGTTCAGGCGGAAAAACAGTGTTCCATGCTGGACTTTGACCTGAAGCAATCTCAGCAGAAACTGGAACACCTTCTTGAGCAGAAGGAAAGACTGGAAGATGAAGTAAGTAAAAAGTTAATCACTACGATTTTCTATATAAATAGATTATAATTACATTGGGAAATAGAAATTGAATTCACCTACACTGAGCTCCTTGTGCAGTTCACCTCTCTGTAGAACTGAAGACAGTTGTTGGTTAAATGGATAATTTCTGCCTGTTTCTTAGCTCTTGAGTGCTTTACGTATTTCAGCCTTTAATTTAACTTGCTTGTGAATTTGATTGTGTAGTCTGGTCGGTTTGCAGTTCTGAGTTTGCGTTCTCCAGAAAAGCATTTATTCAAGGAAATGCAATTAGAATATTGAGTGTGACAGCTAGGTACTAAGAGTAATAGCTTCATCTTTACTTTTTCCTTACAGCACACTGAGAATGAAGGTTGTTACGACTTCCTTAGGGGTCACGAGTGGTGTAAATTAGTTTTTGTATCGCTGGTAGGCTGCATTTTTTTTTCTAGAATGAGAAGGTTTTAAGATCTGAAATCCATGGAGAGACTTGCTGGACCTTTCAGTGGACAATTTCAGTTTCTTCCATTGTTGCCTTTAAGATAAGATAAAACACACTGGGGACTTTGAAATAAGCTAAATATGGGGAAGCTTTATCGTCGTGCAGCGTCCTCTCAGTACGTTCTGTAAGGGCAGAAGCTTTCTGTGAGAGTATTGCACTGAAGTGTTTGGAGATTTAGGAATATTTTTTCCACGTTGTACAATGTGTAGCATCTAGGCCATGGTGTTTGATACAAAATAGTCCCTAGATGAAACACTTTCAGCCACATGCAGTTGATTATTCAGCAAATGTTTCTAAATTGAAATATTTCTCATTTAGGTAAAGAATCTAACACTTCAGCTAGAACAAGAGACGAATAAGCGAATAATGGCACAGAATGATTTAAAGGCACAAGCTTTTGAAGCAGATAACTTGAAGGGTTCCGAGAAGCAGCTGAAACAGGAAATCAATACGTTGTTAGAAGCAAAGAGATTACTGGAATTCGAGTTGGCTCAACTTGCTAAGTAAGTAAAAAAATTAAAGTAAAATGGAAAAAGTTGCTTAAATATGCATGTACTGTTTTGCCTGTTCCTATTAATGAAAAAGGTTCTCTGGTTGCATAGGCTTTTTTTCCTAAACTGAAAGAATATTTTTAGCTGCATGTTATGATGATGTATGTAGCCTTCAGCGTTGGAATATTTTTGTTACAAGCCGTGATGCAGAACAATTCTTGGCTCATCATTCTACGTCAAGGCATATATGCCACTTTTGAGTGATGACTTTATGGGTTGACTGTGATACTACTAATTAAATCATATGGGACTTTTTGGTTTATTACACGGGAGTCAATAGCTTTTTCCCCCTTTACATACCTGATTTTATTTTTCTTAACACTTCTTAAGCTGAGTGAAGACATTTTTCATTAATTAGGCTTCTATTATATCTTTCTTCAGCTGACCTAACATTTCTTCATTTAGACTACTACTTGTCTTCCAAATCACATGCTGAAATGACCATCAGGGTAGAGTAAAGAATGTAATCAGAATTTTAGGATACAGCAACCTGTTGGTCTTTGTGAAAGATGATGTGTGCAAATGTGAGATCTCTGTAGGATGCTGTTCTGGTTAGAAATAGTCTTTGTCATTTGTTAGTAGCTGAGTTTTATATGTTTTTCCTTTTTTATTCTTTCAAAGACAGTACAGAGGAAATGAAGGTCAAATGCGTGAGCTTCAGGATCAGCTTGAAGCTGAGCAGTATTTTTCGGTAAGACTTGCAAAGAATTGTGAATGCTACATATTGACAGGAAATCATTGAACAGTACATAATTTGACATAGTGAATTCTTTTTAAATGTAAATAACAGCCTGGCATAAATCAGCAATTCACAAAATCTCATTTGCAATATGAACAGCAAAAAAAAAAAAAATTACAGAGCATTAAGTAGTCTAATATGATGCTTTGTACTTGTTTGCTTGTCAAATCTTTATATATTACATTCAGTAACCCTTACCTGAATTACTCACCAGAGTAGTTCCTACTTGAGGTTGGAAAATAAATATTTTTCTGACAGAATTGCAAACTGTGTAGAGAGTTCAAAATCTCAGTATTTACTGGAATATATTCCATGATATTGATCTACTATATTTAAGAAAATACCTGCAGAATGCTACTGGATCTATTCCTTATCATTTTAGAAAGATACCTTCTTTGCACCTGAGTCCCTGAAGAGCCTTGTTCTGTAATCCTGGTAGCCAAAATGTGTATTTCATAGACTTAGACTGATCTGTTTCATTTCTGTGAAAAGCAACGGTAGCATGAGGTGCTCTGTAACACCTGAACTTCAAATACACTTGTGAACATGGACAGTGTCATTTCACTTTGGGAATTACTTTTTAAATTCAGTTTGTGCCTGGAGGGGCAATAAAAATGTGTTCACTAAACTGCATATGATTGTAATTTTATTGTGTTACAGATTTTTTTTGTTCATTTCTCCATAACATACTGCTAATAAGAAGATCCAGAGTATTGTGTTTCATTCTCAGTTTTCTTTTTTTTCCACTAGCACGTAATTTAAATGAGACATTTGTAACTCAGTCTGAATAGTTAGCGGAAGTACTTTATTGTAGATCAAACTTTAACTTCCAGAATTGCTGGTGGTCTTAATAACAATGTAGTAATTAAGAACAGAAATTGTTCATGTAAATTGGACTTCTGTTGAATCACTTATCAAGACAAAGTCAGTCTGTACAGAAAAAACTTAGTCTAAGAGAAAAGATACGTGAGCATGAACAGAATACAACAGGTGAAAGAATAGGACAGCACTAGGCTTGTTTAACTAATGCTTTGAGACAGTGATGCTACAAGGGGGTGCAGATTCGTCCTGTTGTCTCCAAGAGACCTGCTCAACTGTGTCCTAGTGCCTTCCTTCCCTTTTCCCTGTTGTCAGCAGGTGTGTCTGAACAATTATGTAGGAAAGCAGACTAGAGAATTTAAAACTAA